AACAAAACCATTATACCCTGATTTCCCATTTTCAATGGGTTCAGGGTATAAAAAAAAAAAGAGAGTGAGAGAGAGAAAAATAAAACACAAGAAAGTGGACGACTTGAAAAGAGAGCCAATGAGCGACTGAGAGAGAAGCAGAGCGCATGACAGAAAAATTGAGAGAAAGTAAGCGACTGAGACCACAAATATTTATTGTTTTTATTGCAATTGTCCACATCAAAAGTACAAAATTGATAATGCACTGTTAGTTTACAAGTCTTAAGCTAAATAAATATATGAAATATAGCCTCGTCATTAAATTATTTACTAAATTCATTGCTGCCGTAACATTTCTTAGCTTGTTACATTGTTTATACATTGAACTACTATAGTAAGCAGAAGTGTATCTTATATTTCGATGCAGTTTTGGCTTTATAAATTTTTATTAATATACAAACTCATTTGTATTTAAGAAAATACTAAATTTTTAATTGAGTGCTTATACATAGCTTTGAATGTAGAATTTTGTGCTGTTGCTTTTAGTCGGTTTATGGTTAAAACGCGCTTTTAGCATGCGACAGTAAAATCTCTCAGTGCGGCTAAGTCAATACCACAGCCCACGCAACCCTCACACATTGGTTTTGTTAGCAGACATGACCGTTTGACCTAATTTCAGTGCTGCATGGTGGCGCGACAGGAAGAACCCCCTGCCAAAAGCAGCTTCGTGGGAGGTGGAGCTGAGTAATGAGTGAATTAAAATGCGGTGAAAGGAATATCAACGAGTATAAAGCACGAAACGAGTAATAAATAATAAGTACTCAAACAACATGCGAATTCTTAGGTATGCTAGTTTTATAATGTAAGCAATAAACTGAATGAAGCATATTGATTAAAACAATACAAATATTTGTTTCGTAAGCAATGTTTAATTTATAGTTACTTTTTATGATATGTAAAATGTTGTATATTTTCGATTTTCATTATCGTTGTTAAGATAATGCCGTTAAATAAGAACTCTACTAACCAGTAACAGGATACATAGGAGCAATCCGCTATTTTCGGAAACAAAAAGTCTGTTGCCATTTTGATGCTTTGCTTGTCAGAATCCTTTCTTTTGAAGTTTGGATTTTATTATATTTCTTTTAGAGCTGCTGCACTGTCAACTCAAACTGAATTGTCTATGGGAGTTTCAACTGGACACTAATAATAAGTACGAGGGGAGAATCACCATAGAGCGCATCAGAGCGTTGTGTTGAGCTGGTGTGTGTTTCTGTGGCGTATATCATATACCCGACGAAGACTCTAGCGCGCGTCTGAATTAAGCCTTTAATCGGTCGTATGCAATTATTATGGTTTGCTTATGTAGTTAAAGGACTCGTGCACTCTCATATTTTGGAATTGAACTGAAACGCTGAAATTGTCGATAACAAAAAAATTAAATTTTTTCTCATATGATTGTTACGGATTTATCATTGTCTTAAAGTGTCTGCATTCAGGACACTGACTGACACGAATACAGCGTTAAAAGCGGGACACACACGCACACACAGGTAGTTATACACAGCAGCGCACGCTCACGAGAGGAAATGAGCCGAATCATGGAGGAATTTCTTTTTCTTCTTGCTTCAATTTATATTATTATTGCGAGCCCATATAGCTCATGCGAGCTACCACAATGAAACATTTATCAAATTAGCATAGGGCTTTTGCTATCACTGGCCGACTGACTGCAGCGTCTCTCTCTCTCATTCAATAGGGTAAGTCTCTTTTGTTTTGATGTTTACTTTCACTGCCAATTGATAAGGTTCCCATGTGTTTGGTTGCTTGCTGTTTATGCATGTGTGTGTCTGTGTGTGTTGTTTTACACGCGCGCTTTGGCTGCCGTTATGTTGTTCACACTTTCCCGGTTCTCTACACACTTTGGAGGAAAACTCTCGACAGCATGGGAAATTTTCATGCTCTAGTGTTGATTGATGCCGTCACGTTTGTCTCTATTCGATAATATCGCTAGCAACTCTGTTAGGTTAGCATCGCTAACAGACAAGGACTGGCTGTTATGACACCCACTCTTCTAACGGCTTTTTGATTTACCCCTTTGTCTGTAAACTGACTAAAAACAATAATTCGAGGAATGCTTTACACTGCAAGTAGGTTTTTGTTCCTGATATTGGGGGCTACACAATTTAGGCTATGAACGTATTAATATATTGATAGATATTATTTTTTGTACAGCATAGTGCAATATGCCTGATGTATTATATGTAAATAATAAATTCAAATTGCTATGCTACTTATATTATTTTATAACTAATTATGAATCGATTTTTAGCACTTTCTACGAGCTACTAGCTACGCACAGTGCAGACTGACACAGAGAACCGAAGCTGTATACATCTATGCGTATGTACATATGTATGTATTGTACAGCGCACGCTCACGAATACACATAGCAGCACATAAACAAACTATTATTCCTCACACAGAAGCCAGGCTATTGGTATTATTAATTACACATTACGTCGATCTAAGTTGTTTCGATTAAAAATTCCACAAATATTGGTCGATAGCAAGTTGATAAGCTTTCTGTGTTTATGGTTGGTTGGGGTTTTATGTAGATGTGCTGTATATGGATTTTGACACACGCGCGTCAGCGGCGCCTATGTTGTGTACGCGTTCCCGGTTCTCCACAGACTTCGGTGGAAATCAACTCATATATATAAAAAGGAAATTTTCAGCGTGAGCTGTTCTTTTCCAATACTAATAAATTTTTGTATTCGATAGTTTTGCAACGCTGTGTCCACTGATGGCAGCCGACAGATGCTGACTGCTGCGTCACTCGACCTACCAACGGCTTTTCAATCAGCTGAGCCAGCGATAGTAATGACCCACACTATATTTAATCATTTTTATACTCATTATCTAATCTAAATATTAACACAAGCTGATTGACAGTTCCAGGCCTTGCTTTTACTCTTAGTTAATAAACATTAAAGCAAATGTAAATTAGCATTTTGTCTCAAATAGATAACAGATAAGTCCGCTCTCGTTCATAAATATTTAATTTTGCTTTTGACAATCTTCCTTGGTGAACGATAAGTTTATAATATACATATATATTTTTCAGATTACAGATTTGATATAATTTTTTAAAGATAACAATCTTTACAGCGAAGTACATGTCGCTTTATGAGTCCATTTTTTATTAATGGTCGTCTAACTCGAATTGCTTGTGAAGGTCGCAGGTTTCATTCAATTGATAAGTCGCGACTAGCAAACTAATTATAAATGTCGCTCGCAAGCAGAGTAAAACTGAAGATTAGCATTCAATTTGAATATTGATTGAGCTATTGGTTCTGATAAAAATGCTTTATGGTCAATTAAAACGATCATGACATACAAAATATATAGTTGATGACGTATCCGCCATAGTCTTATCAAGGTGGGCGTATCTGAGGGGAAGCTGAAGAGTAGTGAAAGAAAGGGAGTGAGTGAGAGAGAGAGAGAGAGAGAGAGAGAGAGAGAGAGAGAGCTGAGAAACAATCACTAGAAAAGAAGAGAGTTTTAACCTCCGATAGAATTATACCCTATATATATATATATATATATATATATATATATATATATGTATATGTGTATATGTATGTATGTATATATGTATAAATAAATAAATAAATAAATAAATAAATAAATAAATAAATAAATGAATAAATAAATAAATAAATAAATAAATAAATAAATGGATATGTGTGGGCCAAGATACCTTGTAGAAAAACTAGGTTATTTTTTATATGATATATGTGCATACTAAAAAATAATCTAGTCTTTCTAGGGTATCTTCGGTCCACACAATCTACATTAGAATGATCTTACGCCTTCAGTTTGAAAGACATTTTACATCGCAAGCGTATTTCAGTCTTTCGGAGCGTCTCGATGTTGTCGGATTGCTCAGTTGCTTCATTTCGCTTTAGGCAAAGTTAATTTACTTTTGCTGAAGACAACATATACATATGAATTTTGTATTTTCTATACGGCAAGCTGAATAGGCAAGCCTGTTTTTAAGTTTAATTTCAACTAAAAATATAGTTTGAGCTATTTTTTGTCGTGCCGACAGTGTAATCGTGCTGTGTTTTTTTTAAGCCGGTTTTCTATGTCTTTATTTAAACTATGAGATAACCTGTTTTGAAATAAATTTGGTAGCCACCGTGGAACAAATATTTGAAAACGAGATTTTCTTCAAATCTTAAAACATTCTGTTCCGTGTAAATGAATTCATTATTGAGACAACAGTTTGATTAAATTGGGATCGCATAATAATACAAAACACAAGTGTATTCTTTATTACTGACCATTGAGTTGATTGAGTCACAAATTGTTTTGTTCTATTTGTCGTTCGCATTTGAAGGAATTCAAGTCTTTTGTATAAAGCTATCAATTAACGGTAAGCAAATATATATATACATATATATGTATATGCAAACATACAATAATGGTATGTTATAGTCGGACCCTCCCCATACTAACTTTTGTTTTATTTGTTATCAGTAGAGGCTTAATCGATTAAGTTCACCTTGAACGATTTTCAATCGTTAGCAACGAACCAATATAAACTAACTATTTATTGAATTCAGTTCTAGACCAACAGATACACTGCCATTATGAGACTCAGGTTTAGATCGCTCTATACGAAAGTTTCTTTTTTTTTCAAACTAACACAATTTCATGAAATCACCATCTTTTAATAAAATACAAAACAGTTTAAGACAATGAAGATGTGACTCAGTCTTATCAGTTGGAATGTTTTGCCTTTATTGTTCATCCATATCACGGCTATATGGCATATGCTACTTCTGCGTTGAAAAATGTGATACATATTAATAGCATCGGGCAATGGATATGTTATTATATTGTTAATAATAGAACACATATCATATACAAGTATATGGTAAAATCATATATATATATTCTAATAAGATGATATTTTCCTTTTTTCAGAAACATTGAAAATGGAATGTAAGGTCGAGGGTCAGGAAGAACAGCTGTTCAGTGGAAATTCTGAGAGCGATGACAAGCACCCACAGATCGTAAATGGATTAAATCGATCACCAAATAAAGTACCACTGGGTGAACAATCGCGTGCAGTCCGGCGACAGGCATTTATGGTTATACTGGCTAATATGGGTGTTATATCAAGTGGTTTAGCTTTGGCTATTCCTACAGTTTCACTACGCCAGCTGACCAGCGAATTAGAACCTGTGTATTTAAATGGGACACAAGCTTCTTGGTTTGCGTCTATTAACACATTGTCTTCTCCATTGGGTGGTCTATTGTCGGGATTACTACTCGATAAAATTGGACGTAAGCGTACTCTCTATGTGTTCAATTTGTTGGCCATCACAGCTTGGACACTGCTTGCCACACCGAGCTCGACAAGTACTGAAGCATTTTACTGGCAGTTATTTGTATCTCGTTTCATTATTGGTAAGTCTTTACCAAAGCCAATACGTAAAAATCATAATCATAATTTTTGCTTTTTAGGAGTAGTCATGGGATTAGCTAGTGCGCCTTCTGGTGTTTATGCAGCAGAGATTAGTTTACCCAAGTTACGAGGCAGCCTTATACTAGGCACCTCCGTTTCAGTGGCTTTGGGCATAACAATTCTCTATAGCATTGGTTACTTTATACGGGATAATTTCCGACTAATTGCGCTTATTTGCTGTTGCTATCAAATAATCGCGTTGCTCTGTGTGCTACCATTGCCAGAGTCGCCTAGTTGGTTGTTAACTAAGAAGCGTGTGGAGGAGGCAATGAAGTCACTTAATTATTTCCGTGGACTGGACAAATCACGTGAGTTATATAATTATCTAAAGCTCCAATATAATTAATATATTTTTCATTTTCATTAAAGCTCGTATCACGCATCCTGAAGTTTTAGAGGAGTTTAATATTTTACAGAAGTCACTGCAACTTCGTGATGGTGAGAGGAAACCATCGTTCTTAACTTGTCTAAAATTGCCTGAAGTTCACAAGCCGCTTTTGATTCTGATGGGTTTGTTTGCATTTCAACAGCTTTCAGGAATTTTCGTGGTCATTGTGTACGCCGTGCAAATCTCCAGTGACGCAGGCGTCTCAATGGATCCATTCATGTGCGCTGTTCTTATTGGAATGGCGAGGCTGGTGACAACTTGTCCCATGGGTTATGTGCTAGAAAAGTGGGGCCGGCGACGAGCTGGAATCATATCAACGTTCGGTATGACTGTCTCCATGTTTCTTCTGGCTGGTCATGGTTGGCTTGAAGCTCTTCAAAGCGTGCCTTACCTACCAGTCATAGCGATTGTAGGCTTCATTGTACTTAGTACATTGGGTCTGTATACTCTGCCTTTCTTCATGATTTCGGAGCTTTTTCCTCAAAAAGTGCGTGGTCCAGCTTCAGGTTTAACTGTGGCAGTGGGTATGTTCTTTGCATTTTTGTGCATCAAAATGTATCCGGACTTAAAATCAAGCATTGGCCTGAACAACGCGTTTGTCTTCTTTGGCGCTATGTCATTTTTGGCTATGACATTCATTTATTGGATTCTGCCTGAGACTCGAGGACGTACACTTTTGGAGATCGAGGAGCGATTCCGAACTGGCGAACAGAAAAAGGGACCGATGGAAGTTGAAATGCAAGAAGTATTTGTACGCTGACAAGATGCAGTTAACTAAAATCAATATTGAGCACGTGAGGACTTTGTGCTGTGATACATATACCTTAAAGCATTCAAATACCAATTAAATAACTCAATTTTTTAAAAAATATTTTTAAAAATATTTTGCATACACAGTTATTATTTAGTTGCGTTTCACCAATGCTTAATTCTATCTCCGAACATAAAAAAAATGTAAACTTTGACCATTATCAATTAAAATAAAAAACTTTGATAATTTATATAGATATTTATGCGGAGGGAAGAAATATTTCAAAATGGAACTACCCTCAAATTGTTAGATTGGTTTAAGTGGATACATAATACGTAAATACAGGTAGTGGCACTTGTGACTACACATCTTTTTAAACTGAATGTCTTGTTACTGATTAGAATACAGTACCAACATTTAAGGAGTATGCTAACTTTTGTAATAATAATGCAAAAACTAATGATGATGCCGATGACAGTGATGTGAGCCGGTTGCACCATGTCCGGACCTCTGTGTGAGTCTCTTATTATTTCCAGATTGCGCCATGGGCACAATTCAGCCTCGGTGGCTGTCTGGCGGGTTTACCGTGGACTGCTTAAAATGTTCTGGTAAATTTTGCTCTGGTCATTATATGTAACAAGCCAGGTACCACAAAGCAAGAGCGTGTGCCCGAAAATCGGCTGGTACCCTGTGTTAGAGCACATGCTTTGGGCGTTGAGGCCAACGTTTATGTAATTATATTAAGTTTTCAATTTTATGGCTTAATAATGCAGTGGTCAGCGGGTCCAGCCGGCGCAGCAGTTTCACAATGTTTGGGCGACAAGCGTTTAAGCTGAGGAGCTTGGAACAACACAAATTGATCGCGATTAAGTCAACAACACGGCGCTAAACATGGACCGAACAAAATCAAGTTGAATGAACTTGATACACTGAAGGGATAACTGAAATTGATGAGCTGCAAATGTGTGAACATTAAAGTTTCCGCTTCTGATTCTGGATGCTGTATTCAACAGCCACTGGTTCTCTCCCTGTGGCATTGGTCTGCTTCATAATCATAATCTGACAGTTTCGTGGAGCTGACACCTGCCGCGAAATTTCTTACTTCCGCACATCAATTACACCAGATCATTGAAATGTCAGCACTTATGTCAACAATAGTGCTCGATTTAATGAGACGTAACTTTGCAAACAATAACAATTGAATCACAGTGCACAACCGCACGCAGTTAGGGATGTCAACGCAGCATATGCGAACTCTAATAATTCCAATCCGTATCTATCTAGTTACCTTCTGGTTTAGCCATGCGTAAACCACATTGCGAGGACAGCACAATAGGAGACAGCGATTCTAAGGGTTGTGATCCTGGTTGACTCTGGTCGATTCGATCTTTTGTTTTCCATTTATTTTCGTGTCATCATCAACGCAGCATGTCGCGTGCGTATCTTTTGTTTTGATGAGATTTTGATTAGGTTTATAAGGTAATAAATTTTGGAAATTTGGAAAGAAAATTTTAAACAGTTTTGTGTATTCACAACAAGCTGTGACTCATTTGATTGTGTAATTTATTGCATTTAGCTAACTACTGACTTGGATAGAATACACGCTTTGAGAATTCTGAAATGCATTTCAGGGGGGTATGGATAAGACGTTTCAAGTGCATCGTTTCTTATACATTTGTGGTCCCTACATAAAACAGTTATGGATAAATGAACTTATGACTGAAATTGGCTTTCTTTTGGAAACATTCTAAGCTACTAGTTGAAAAAATTGGACTAATTTTACAGATCGCACGGACTGATTGCACACCTTACCATGGCTCATCGACATCAGAGTTTGGAAACATCCCTATCTTTTAACTCGAAGGGCTAACTGCAATTCTGACCAACTTGACGAAGGGGCAGGACACACCTGAATTACAACTGCACCACAGCTGCGTACGATGAGCGCGTGTTTTAAGATTGCGAGTTTTTTTTAACTGATCTCTAAAAAGAGTCGAAGTGATTTTTGGCAGTAACGATATATGTACAGCTCGTTGCCAGAGGACCTCTCTTTACTCGATGCGATTATCTTTGACTCCAGCCAACGCGGTTTTTCGTTTAACGTGTTTGAAAAGGTGTGCCGACCGGCACATCCTTACCCAAGGGGTAAGCCGAGGCATTCAAGCTATGTGTCGAAAAAACTGTGAAGATGCTACTGGTTTACAGCACAAAGGTACTACCATTTTAGGTGCTTAATTTCTTCTCTGGTTCCAATACATACATTTTATAAATTATTATTAATTAATTATTATGAATAGTTAATAACACAATTTTTATCACATAGTAGAAATGGCTTGTAGTACGGAAATTTCAATTCTTTTTTGAGTGGTGGATCGGGTGTATGGAAGAATGTGAGCTCGTCGTTCAACTTTTATTTTTCAATTAGTCGAGCTACTGTTTTTTACTTGGGTTCTTTCCGCCGCCAAAGAGGATAACGACCTGATGCCATACCAAAAGGAAGATTGCCTTTTGCATTTTGAAGAAGCGCGGCTTTGGCTCGTAAAAATATTGCATTTAGCCAAAGACACGGAAGGCAAACGCTTTTTGGATTTAACGATTCTGTGCCGAATGGGCACAGTTTTATGATCATTTTAACACTTTGAAGGGGGATGCAGAATCTGTAACTGCAAGTGACTGGACCGGCTGGCCATAGACAAGCGTAAAATTAAATTCGTTTCTATGATGCACTAAACGATTTAAAGAGGCGTTGGAACCTTTAAAAATCAATTACATTCGGCGGAAGATCGAGAACCACCAGAAGCAGCTCTTACTTGCTGGAAGCACGCACTATATGGAATATGTGTATTATACTTTATTAAGGTTATTGTTAAGTTTTCAGATAAAAAAGTATTGAACTGTTATTCAAGTTAATCTAATGCTAATGCAAATGATAATGGTATATAAGAGTTAATTTTTATCATAGTAGTATCTATTATAGAATTGTGTCGTGTATGTCATTTGTGAGAATGTGTAGATTGAATGTGTAGCTTTTGCTCTAAGTCTTTCTTTCCGAAAATTCAATTAAGATATATAATAATGTCAAAAATTTAATTTATTGCAAGGGCTTCTTTTACACGCAAAGCTTGGCTAAACAAGCAACTGCTCACCCTTGTCTGCTCAGCCATTTTGTGTGCTCATTGGTGCGTTTTGTTTCGTCCTTTAATGTGAGAAAATGTTACCATTTTGCCGTCGTGTTGGCAAAGTCCTTTGTAATTGCTCATTTTGTTATCTAGATTTTCTGACCCATCCGTCCCACTTGGGCAGGTGTCGCCTGCACAACTCTGTGGAAATTACAGTTTTATTAATTGGCTATTTGAAGTGGATCGAAATAGATGGTGCGACAGACATAGGAACGAACTCTTGGGTTTTTATGGCAGTTGAGAATTGCGTGTAGGCGGATTACAACATAAAATAGAATTTTCGGTAAATGCGCAACTTTATCTTATCGTTTGTCGGCAACTGTATTGTGGATTGTCTAATTGTTCCAACGATTGTCTGCTGTTGTGCACTGCCTGCCTTGCCTCACTTACTTAGGTGTTGCTGCTTGTTTCGGCGCGTGTCTTCGTCCCAATCGCAAGGTGCACCTGATAGCCTGCTGCAACTTGTTTGCCATCCTGCGCTGCATCCATCAAAAGAACGTCGCGTGTAAAGTAAAACTACAGGGGAGAGGTAACTTCATGTTCATGATTTCAGGCACATGCGTAACCTGCGCCAATTTGGCCCGCACAAAAATCGTCGTTTTCTTCGTTGTTGTCGTCATCGTCGACGCTGTACCTTCGTTTTCGGCTTTGTTTCCATCCAAAACCCTGTGTGTTGCATCTGCTGATTGCAACGTCCAACACAAACTCGAAAGCAAACCCTCAATTAGACCGCCCCTTCAATTTAAAAGTATATAGTGTCTGGCTGTTCTTTTGTATGACAGGCGCAAAAACCTCAAGTTGGCTAGTCAACTAATTTGATCGACCGCTTCGAGGCACCCACGCAACAAAATCAAACTTTTTGTAGCTCACATAGTGGCTAATTTCCAAATTCTTGGATGTTAGCTATGCCATGGAGCGCAGATATCCGACAAAAGCGACAACAGCGCATATTGTTTCTTATTAATGACCATGAAATCTGCCTCCAAGTCATTTTGGTAGACTACCTGTCTTTAGACACGAGCTTGCTAATTTTAAATAATAATTTTAATGGCCTCAGCCCTGAAGGCACCGACTGTTATTATAGAAGATATTAGAAGGAATTTTTGACAAGAATAATATCGATGCATTTCTTGATAAGGCGATATTTAAAGTTTCTCTGAATGAATTTGTTAAGATAGTTACTATGTCTAATTACATTTTTTTAAATTATAGCGGCAGACAGGCTATACATTTGTTTTTACTATTTATGTAAAATTGTCGTCACACATGTAGTTTGATTTTTTTCATAATTGCGTGGATGGTCTTACGAGTACAGAATACTTCTAATAAATGACAGTAGATTTAGTTTCAATTACAATATAAGCGAATGTAACGCCAAAGATGTCTATCGCAACAAGCAGTTCGTAGGAAAAGCCACTCAATTGGAAGAAGTTAAGCCGATTTGACGCCCTTTTTGCAAAGCGCCCTACGCTATACTGACTTTGACTTCCGGTTGCTCTTTTTCAGTGCATTGAATGGATTATAAATTGAACTTCCCACACAGATTTGTGTGTCGACCTTAATTGGGGCGTGTTCTGGGCTGGGTTTGGGTAATTGCAACCACTTGAAAAGCTCATGGTCACATAATCGCGCTGTCTGTGTGCTGAACAGACAGCAGAACAAGCAAAGTGGGTGTTGGGTGGTTTGGCATGACTACGGTCGCGTTGGGCGTCGCTTCCATATGCCTGGCTGACTCTGTTGATCTTATTACTCCTCGCTTGGCTGAATGAGAAAATACGGGGCAGCTACTGTTTGGTAATGTTGGAGATGAAGACTATCAGAGCTAGTAGCAAGCACCATTATGTGAGGCACTCGACTTGGGCCTTGTGCTCTTTTGACAGTTTTATCTCAACCTCGCAGAAATGTTGGTGATGGACAGAAAAGTGCCACTCTATATACCATCTACTTTTATAGCCATTGCTAGCTCTAAGAGATTTCATGTTTAAAATATAAATCTTTGCCGCCACAAGTAGATTTGCTTATGACACGCAGATGAGTGTTACGCACTTAGGTACCTGTATTGAATACACACTTTAATATAGTCCCACTTTTTTTTATACATTGATTTTCCGGCGGCAGCCTAAAAGCTCAGCACACAATTACGTTTACCAAACTGAAAGCGGTATTGTTCCATGAATAAACGATAGCCACCTTTTATAGTCAATATGACAGTTTTATCTTTCGTTACCAGCCTTGCCCATTTAAACTCTATTTTCAATTGAAATGCCAGGCGACAATTGTCATATTCAATTAACACTTGCACCACCAAAGCGTTTCTTAATTCCACCACCCAAAAGCCCATTTACCCATTCCAACAGCTTCATAAGAGAGAGAGAAAGCCACGGTGTAGGTAGGACCGGCGCACGCCTGTAGCCGTCGTTGTTTCGCTCATGGTAACGGCTACGCCACACACACACACTTCCATATGTATACATACATATACAAAAATATATATAAAATTCTAGGGCTATGGTGTTGTCATATTGTGGTGGGCATGGAGAAACATTCGCGTGCTGAGTTGCCGCTGCCGATTGGCCGGAACGCGACTGCAACGGCAACGGCAACGGCTACGGATACGGCTGCCGCAACGCTTTAACATTGGTGTACGATGGTATAAAATTATCATTTGCAATGCTGATATAATATTTGCATTGATAAATAAATATATATTTTCTTGTTTACAGTTAAATATTTAGAATAGGCTTTAGTGATAAAAAGTATACTCTATATATGTTTTTTACTTAATATATGTGTGGTTCGCCTACTAAGGATAAAGTTTGTTGCTAATCGAGTGGCTTTTATATATTCGTTTTAGGCATTTTGTTACCTAAACTTAAATTCAATGTAGATATTCCCTTTTGAGTTGAATTTTGTTTGATTTGTATTAAATTATTATTATTTATTTTATATCTTGGCATGTGTTTATTGACTCCATTGTGTTCGTCATGCCAGGGCAGGATGTGCGTAGTTCCACGGTGCGGCTTATTTTTAGGGCATTGAATGTAACGAAACCCACGGCTTCGACCAATCATAAGGCGCGCAATGCCAGCACAACACATGCGCAATATCAAGTGACTGTTGATTGGCCGTGAGCCGCCAGCGGGGCTGTCGTTGCTGTTGTTGTTTTCGCGCCAGCACACTGTTGTTTGCTGCTGCTGCCGTGAAACCGGTTACACCAGAAAAACGTTTCGTCCGCCTTGTGGCATTTGAGAGGCCGTGAGCATATGTCAGTGTGCGTATATTTTCGGGTGGCGGCAGTAGCCCAGAGTTGGCTGGATGTAACACGGCAGGGCACCGGACACGGGAACATCAGAGCAGATCATTGATGCTTTGTGTGTTGCCAGCGCGAATCGCATGCATTAGTTGAAATTTTGACGGTCGAGTGACTAGGTGAGCGGCGTCGCGGTCGGCAAGCTTAAACAGTCTTCAATCCATGTTAGTGTACCTAATTTATGAAACACTAACGCTCCTCGAAACAAATTTGCGGAAGGCAAAAGTTGATGTGCTGTGTATATGTATTAAAACCTTAGTGCAAGTGAATCTAAATTTGTATTAATCAATTATTATCTATATTAGAAGAGGTGAGAGCAAGTAACGTACAAAAATACGTGGAAAAACCAGTATAGATCATTTATAATGACTTGACATCTAAAGGAAGTAGGCTGCTTTCTCTACTTCTTGTCACTTGGTGGAGCACTGTAGCAATAAAACCATGTAATAATATCAAACAAACCTTTTTCATAAAAAAAAAACGATATTTATTGTTATACTTTGTCAGCACCTTATTAAACATAAATGTGTGTATATATTCAGTATATAATTATTTTCAAAGCACTTCAATTGTTTGTAATATTTCAATTATTTTCTATGCAGCTTAAAAGGTACCTTAACCCATGCTCTTTTCCTAATAAGCGTCAATTTAACGGGACTCAATTTATTCAATCGTTTTATCTTCATCAAAAATAAATGTATATATATACACAACGGATATTGCTTTAATTTTATGAGCTCAACAAATTTGCATTGCAAAGATCGCGAAAAGTCACATTGAAATTGAGTTTCCGCCGGCCTCTGATAACTCATAAATGAGTCGACCACTTTTTCCCACGAGACAAACGACAAAATTCAAAACTCGTATGCTAATTAATTCTATTTCATGCCGTATACTATTATAGCCCATTGATTTTGAAAGCTTTCTACCAGACTAGCCGCTTAACAACTTATTTAGCTGAACCTAAGTGTGGTCAGCCTACCCAAAACGATATTGATCTCGATATTGCTTCTGGCTGCTTTTCGTTTCTAAACAGTAATGTAAAGCCGGCGACTTGCTTCATTGATGTCGTTTGTTGCTCTGTTGCCTTCTTATGTTATCATTTCATGCACCAAAAAAATCATAAGCCTATACATATTCAAATGCTCCAGCGCATGTTTTATTATAATTTTTTATTTTAATTAGCAAGCTTTATTCCTAAAGACGCGGCTTTTCTTTGCCGAAACAGAAGCTCGACGAACCTGTCGGTTCCACTTTCGGCAGTAGTACTCATTTAAATTATTGTATGTTTAACTAATTTCTGTTAATTTTTATATGCGTTACGATTGACAGGTGTATATGTATTTGAATATTGGCTTCGTTAACCTTAGTAACTAGTTCTTTGTTCTGCAATCAATTACAATTAGTTTTGAGTAGACTCGTTTGGCATTACTATATGAAACATATTTTTGTGTATTATATGCCAAACTATTGTTTGACTTTTCCCAATACCTA